TTATGCATGTATATAAGATTTTTGTACTGATAATAAAAAATACGGTTATTATTATTATATCTTTTGCTAATTAAATTTCAGAATATAAGAAAATTTGTCAACAAGAAAGTATGTCATTTAACAAATTAATTTTAGATATAAACAACAGATGGAATTCAATGTAAAATATATTAAAGAGAGCTTGTAAATAAATAAAAGTAATAGATTTATTTTTTACTACAATATCAATAGGAGAAGTACTGACTCTCACAGAACTTAATTGGCTCTAAGTAGTCTTATAAAAAAATTTCTAAATTTGTTTGATATTGCAACAAAATTATTTTCTTTTATATATATATATATATATTTCTATTTCACTATTTGTTTTACATATGTTAGCAAAAATAATGAAAATTTTCATAAAATACATGGGTAATGAATTTTATAAAACCATTATTACTGCAATGAAAGAAAAATTTGATAAATATTTTGATCAATTGCCTCATCTTTCTGGTTTAACCATTGTAATTGATCCTAGGTGCAAAGAAATTGATTTACAAGATATTTTAGATCATATTTTCGCTGATCAAGAATAACTTTCCCCTATTATGAAAACATGCAAAAAATTATTTGAAGAATATAAGGAAGCTATATCTGCAAATACACATACACACGCTACACTAGTCTTTTCTCAAAGTGGAAAATTAAGAATTTTTTTAGTAATAAAAAGTAGAAGAATATTTCAATATACAACCGTATGTAGTTACGAATCACAACGTTATTTGGATAGTCTACCAGTGGATGATTGCAATGATTTTGACTTTTTGGATTAGTAGAAACAAAATGAAACTATGTAATCTGTACTTTCACAGATGGCCCGTGATGTACTACAGTTGTTTCTAAAATAGTTTTTAGTGTAAGTGGACAGGTGTTGAGCGACTACTGCAACAGACTTTCACCCTAAATGGTTAAGACACTTATGATATCGAGAGATCATATACATGTGCTTATGAGAAGAAGAATTATAGTGAAAATAAAAGAATTCAAAGCAATTTGGATGATATATCCTCGGGTAACGCAAGTGAATTGTCTGCCTCATCTGATGATTGATCAACAATTTTTTTTTCCACTATTTCATTTCGTAATATTTTTAATAAATTATTGAAGTGGAGTATAATGCAAATAATTGGTAAGTTAGTAGGTGCCAACTTAGTTGAGATGTACTTGACCTATAGTAATGTAATTTCTCTACCATCATTAATAATGTATATCTATTTTATTTAATGATATAAAATTTTATTTTATTTTGAAATAGAAATTATTTATTAAATGTTATCTATTTAATTTAATGATTGTAATATTTCTTTTCATTTTAATATATATAAAATTCTTCATTTCACAAGAAGAATAACTTTATACTTTTTTTAGTCATAACCAAAAAAATATAAGTTATACATAATTTACCACCATATGAAATATAACTAAATATCTCATTAATTTTAACTAAAAATACTCTAGTATAATTTTTTTTTTATCCCTTATAAATAATCTATATATATAATATATCTATTATTTATTTTTTGCCAAAAAAAAAAGGCCCATCGACCTAGCGTGCGGCATTATTTTGAGTGGGCTTGGGCCTAAATTTTCAGCCTGTGGCCTAGTCCAACCCATCCCGAAATTTGATAAGAGCCCGCGAGACCCGAAGGTGGTCCGGTCCGGTCCGGTCCGGCCAAAATTACACCCTAGGCACCATGAATAATTTGATCAAGGTGGACATAAATTTTATAGAATGATATGATGTCATGTGATTTTTTAATTAATAATAAATCTATCATTATTTTCATAAATTTACAAATAGCACTGTCATATTATTTTTTATTTTAAATTTTGTGTAACAACTTTGTAAACATTTCATTTTTGTATAATTTATGTTGGAGTGATGCTAGAGACTCCAAATTTTCTATCAAACCTCTCACGTGGGTGTGAGACCCACACACATGTGGGTTTTTGTGAGTTTCATACCCATGTGAGAGGTTTGGTAAAAAATTTAGTAGATTATTTGGAATCCATAACATTTTCTTTTATGTTGTCCTTGATTTGATATTAGAATTAAGAAAGAGCAGTGCTTGGTATTCCAAATAAATTATTAAATATTCTACACAATACTCACAATATTTGAAATTTCTATCATAGTTTATTAATAAATCAGTTGGGTTGTTTCCAGGACCTATGACTCTTATTATTAAAATTTTTACAGTGAGTGACAGGATGACTATATTGAAAAATTGAAATGTAATGGTAAGAAAATAAAGTGAATTCAAGAGAAAGTTTAAAAGGGAAAAGTGTAATTTACCTTTAAGATTATTATTTACTTTTTACTACTAGTATTTTTTACAACTATTTCATATTTTACCCTCTTTTATTTTTGTATTTTTTTTGCACAACGATGTTAGCGGGCCTCTTTATGGTAGGATTGTACATTGAATGAAATTTGTTTTAATTCAATATAATTTAAGCTTGTTAAAAAAATTTAAAAAAAACGAACTTGCTAAGTTTCTACAACTTTTTGCTATGACAGCATAAAAAATACTGGATTCTTAAATGATCATGTCTAAGAAATGGGTGAGTAATGAGGTAGAGGATGTGCAGTTTGGTTATTATTTTATTAGTAAAAAGAATATATGGTTCATAAATTAATTAATTGTGAGAGTCGAATAAAAATAAATCTAAAGTAGCAAGTAAGTACATTTTTGATGGGCCAAATGAGGTCAAAACCCACTGAGGTCAAAACCCACTGGACTTGGGATTATTGCCGAATAGATACAAAAAGCAAGATAAGGAACGCGCGGAATTAAGGGTATCTGAACTCCATATCTGAGCTGAGTATGTCATATAAGTCGGCGAAATCATGTTGGGTGGACCTAGACTATGTCCCTTTCTAAATAATATAATTGGAAAATGAACCCTGACAAAGTGATAATAAGGGCCTAAGTTACGAGAAAAATATATTAAGAAAAATGACTATAAAAGAAGGAGAAAGTTGGAGAGAGAAGTATGTTCCACAAAACTTGCATTTAAAGAAATAAAGCATTCTTCTCCATAAAAAAGATGACTTACTCGTTGAAATACTAATTCTAGCACTACCAACCAAAATTATTTCTGTTTAAGGTGACGTCTCAAGAATCTCTGGAGAGTTTGTCTTAATTAAAAGAATATTCTAAAACTACCACCTCACATTAATAAATCTTAATATTTAGTTCCATTGGTTGATTTGTGCAAGCTGCCCAATTAAAAGTCGCATCTCTTATGTGGACCTGGAACCTCTAAAATGAAAGGAAAAAAAAAAAAAAAAAAAAAACCCAGTTTAGTCTCCAATTAGATGGGAGTTCTTTGGCATAATTTGCACAAAGTAATTGCCCTCAGGTTTGAACCTAAAACGTCAGGGTTGATAGGAGCACCTCCTTGATAAGGATTTTAATCATATACAAATGTCAGAAGTGCTAAATCTTAGTAGTTGGCAGGGGTGGACATGGGCTGGGCTTCGGCGGGTTCAGGTTGGGCTCATACTACATTATAACACTTGAAGTAATTTCTTGAGATCGGGCCTGTACTTTATTTCCAAGCCTATCTAAAAACAAAATAAAAAAATCCCAAGCCCATCCACATGGCCTGGATTGTATTTACCATAATTTTTTTTCCATTATTTTAAATAAAAAAAATAATTAATTTAATCACTTGGGTGTCTTTTAACTTATTCAAGGGTAGTAATTCAAATTTTATAACTAATTCTTTACATAACTAGTAATACGTAATTTATGCTTATAAAAAATAAAGTTAAGCAATGTAAAACATACATATAAATATATATTTATAAAAATATATTCTATAATATAGACTATAGTTTGTGGATGGGGTGGGGCGGACTAGGCTTGAAGCCAGTTCATATTATAATTGGGCCTAAAAAATTTGCCCAACCCGGCCGTATGGGCCCTAAATTATAATCCCAAACACTAAATCATAGACAGGCTTAGCGGGCCATTGGGCACATGTCCATCCCTACTTGACATCAATTCCTTGCAATGCGCTGATGATGCTAAAGCACATGCAGGCGAATCTTCAGTTAATTGGTGTCTTGGACAATAATAACCAAAAACACATCGAAGAAGTTTTTGTTATCCTTACGAGTTTTATGGACAAAATTGTCATATGACATGTATATTGACATTGCCTACTACATCTTGACGTATCCCTATCTTGTCTCAACTTTTCTAGAATTCACCATGACACTACTCAATATCAATATGCCGGTGAACACTGGGCTCTGGAATCACCCACATGTAACTAAATTTGACACTTCCATAAAAACTAAAATGCAATTTTTTTTTATAAACTATGAAGCACAGGTACGGGTACGAGTACTGGTACTGGTACGATACGGGTACGTCGATACGGTAAAATTAAAAAAAAAAATAGGGTACGGGTACGGGTACGGCTTGGTACGCTTGTAAAAAAATATTTATTTTTAATTTAGAGTAATGCAAAAAATAATTAAATGGTTTAATTTGTTAAGGTCCAACCTATAATTAACATTTAATGCCAAAAGAAAAAGTATAAATCAAAATTAAATATCAATATATTAAACAACTTACAAACCATAGTTTAATTTTAAAATCATGCTAAGCATAAAACAAAAACTGAAAAAGAAATCTAGTGAAATGAGTTTTATCTCTATAGTAGAAGGAAAATATTGTTTCAACTGAGGTACGGTACGGCTTAGATATATACTAGGTACGTCTGGGTACGTCAAAAATTAAGAAGAAACAACTTGGATACATGCTTCGTGTACCCAGTACGTATGCAGAAGTACCATACGAGGTACGGTACGCCGGTAAGTACCCGGTGTGGGTACGGCATGTTTTTCGAAGTCCCATGCTTCATAGTTTATAAAAAACAAATAACAACAAAAATACAAAAAAGACCACTAGGGACACTTTTAGAATGAAAGCAAGCTGTTGACAGACAAAAGTTTTGAAAACTGTAGTGGAAGTCAATCAAGCAGATTCGATACATGAGCCTAATTATACACTGCTACCACTTAATTTATTGGTTTTAATAGGTCCATGAACAGTGAGTCTAATAAATCAACTTAAAGAAATGAAGAAGTGAAATAAATATGAAACATACTCTACAGGTACATTGCAAAACAGTTAAGAACACACACTACAACATATTTTTTTAAGAGTTAAATACAGTTTCAGGAGCAGACCGTTGGTATGGGAGGCGATGGTCAGGAACCCCATGTTCAGCACGTTTGTCTTCAAACCACTTCACGACTTTTTTGCGAGGAAGATTTGTCACATGCACAATGCTACTAATCATGGCATTCTGCATCAATGCAATACCACAAAAATTTACGATTAACCTTATTTCCAGCAAAGGTGAAAAGTTGTTTATCAATCAGTCAGAAACCAAAGGATTGAGGTTTACTTCTAAAATAATCAAAAAACCATGAATTTGGACATTGATATGGGAAACACAGTTGTAGAGAAAGTAATGAGGGACACAGGCAGCCCCACTAAAAAAAATGACTTCTTAGAACAATCATTTCTAATAGCCTATAGAGAACATTTAATTATAGTAAAACTAAAGCACGTGGCAGTAAGAAATGACACAAATTGCCTCAGACTCAACTGAGAACATGGCGTTTAATATGAAAGAAATGGATCCATGTAGTTGACCCAAAGTAATTGGACAAAGGTCTGTTGAGTTATTGAGTAAAACAAGATGAGTTTATGACAATTTTTTACCGATGCACAAATCACAATATTAATGCACAAGTAACATCACTCACAGTGGGCCGCTTTGTTCGGTCAAAAACTCGTTCTAGGGTTTCAACTTGCACTTTCTTCAATCTTTTCCGAGCAGACCAACTTTTTTGCATGACATGAACTGGCAGATTCACCATGGCTTCAGGTTGTGCCACATCTGCTGCTGTTTCAGATGAAACTTCTTCTAGGGGTTTACTTTCCGGCTCCGAGATTACTGAAATGGGTTTATCAGGTAAAGCAGCACTCATCAATAAAAGACTTGGAGGGGGGTCACGTAGTAATTGGAGAACAACAGCTCTATCTAGACATACATCAGCGGCAAGATTTTTGATCTGCAAGACAAGAAAAATCAACCGTAACCACAAAATACCACAAGACAGAACCTTGGTAGGCTAAGAAGCACAGGCACGAACATGAGCACTAGACACAATTATTTTCAAAAAATTAGCACACAGACACAGCAGTAACACGACAAACAAATATTCATGTCTTTTTTACATATTTTTATTTGTTACGTATATGAATCTAAATTTAGGGCACAGAGTGTTAAAACCTATCACCTACTTCACCCACTTAAACCTACTCCACTAAACCTAACCCACTACAACACTACCACCTCACCTACTCCACTAAACCTGCTCATTTTTCGGGCACACAGCTCATTTTTTCGGGCACACGGCAGATCTCGGGCACACAGCTCGTTTGGGGGCACACAGCTCATTTTTCGGGCACACGGCTTATTTTTTCGAGCACACAGCTCGTTTTTTCGGGCACACGGCAAATCTCGGGCACGTAGCTCGTTTCGAGCACACAGCTCGTTTCTGGCACACAGCTCGTTTGCAGGCACACAGCTCGTTTTTCGGGCACAGCTCCTTTTTCAGGCACACAGCTCGTTTTTCGGGCACAGCTCCTTTTTCAGGCACACAGCTCATAACACTGCTCAATCTGAACACTCAATCCATAACACAGCATTTGGTTTGCATTTTGAACACACAGCTCAAGCACTTGAATTTCTGAACACACAGTTCAAACTTTTGGCGTGAACACGCAGCTCACATTTTTGAAATTTGAACACACAGCTCAAACTTTTGTCGTGAACACACAGCCCACATTTTCTTGAAATCTAAACACACAGCTCAAACTCTTGCGGCGAACATGTGGCCCACATTTTCTTGAAATCTGAACACACAGCTCAAACTTGTTGTCGTGAACACACAGCTCACAGTTTTTGAAAGTTGAACACGCAGCTCAAACTTTTAAATTTCTGAACGCGCAGCCCATTTTTTATTGTGAACACGCAGCACACTTGTTGAAAGTTGAACACGCAGCCCAAACTTCTGAAATCTGAACACACAGCTCATTTTCTGATTGTGAACACGCAGCACACATTTGTTAAAAGTTGAACACGCAGCCCAAAACTTTTGAACTTCTGAACACGCAGCCCATTTTTGATTGTGAACACGCAGCACACACTTGTTGAAAGTTGAACATGCAGCCCAAACTTTTGAATTTCTAAACACACAGCCCATTTTTGATTGTGAACACGCAGCACACACTTGTTGAAAGTTGAACACGCAGCCCAAATTTTGATTCCTGAACACGCGGCCCATATTTTGAATGTGAACATGCAGCACACATTTGTTGAGAGTTGAACACGCAGCCCAAATTTTGATTCCTGAACACGCAGCCCATATTTTGAATGTGAACACGCAGCACACATTTGTTGAGAGTTGAACACGCAGCCCAAATTTTTGAATTTCTGAACACGCAGCCCAGTTTTCTAAATGTGAACACGCAGCGCACACTTGTTGAAAGTCGAACACGCAGCCCAAATTTTCGAATTTTCAGAACACGCAGCCTAGTTTTCTGAATGTGAACACACAACACACATTTGTTGAGAGTTGAACACGCAGCCCAATTTTCTGAATGTGAACACATACCACACATTTGTTGAGAGTTGAACACGCAGCCCAAATTTTTGAATTTCTGAACACGCAGCCCAGTTTTGAATGTGAACACGCAGCACACATTTGTTGAGAGTTGAACACGCAGCCCAGTTTTGAATGTGAACACGCAGCACACACTTGAACACACAATTCATACATTTCATTTGCACGCAACTCATTCTTAATTCTGAACACGCAGCTCATAAATTTTCATTTCTGAACACACAGCTCATTCACTTCACTTTGAACACGCAGCTCACATATTTCAATTCTGAACACGCAGTTCATTCACTTCATTTTTTTGAACACGCAGCTCATAACATAACACTGCTCAATCTGAACACACGGCTCATAACACAGTAGTCTTTTAATTTTGAACACACAGCTCATTCTGAACATACAGGATGCGATGACGGAACTTGTAGAAGTTGAAACAAACTCAGATGCCCGACGTTTTTCCTTTTTCTTTTGCTTCAAAGTCTGGAACCTATATAGCTTCAGATAGGTCCGGCTTTTACTATTCTCACACGACCTAGGTTGAACCCTGCGATTTTTGAAAGAACAAAATCTTGTTTTGCACAAATGTGGAGAGCGGCACGGCACTCTAAGCACAAAACGGTTTTTTTGAAATTGAGAGTGAGAGTAAGTTCTTAGCTGGGTATTGAGCCTACGACTGAACACAGCGCACCACGACTCGACAGAGGAAAACAAAGGTAAAACAACCTAAATGCAAACACAGACACTTGAAATGACTCAACAAGAATCGAGACAAAATAAACAAAAGACACGACACTCAGACATGTTCCAATGGCGAGAGACCTCTTAGTTCACGAGGAGCCAGTTTCTTCAGGTATTGTTTCCCACCCTTTCTCATTTGTGATTCTCACATCACTCGACCCTCAGGCTCTGTTTTTCTCTGAAAAATCCATGTTCCTCACTTTTTCTCTCAGCGCACATCTCTCTATTCTTCAATCTCTCATTTTTTTATCCCTCCCCTGGGTGGTTGATGGATAAACAAGAAGTTGCGGGTTAATGCCCAACGTTATCAGCTCGCAGCTATTTCCTTTGGTGACATTTAGTCGATGCCCCGGACGAAGGAGTGGAGTATCTTGATCCATTCCAATTCGTGCTTCGCACTCAGCTTGATACCTCGCTGCTTGGAGGATGAGAGAGCTTTCAGCCCTTTGTTGTTAACTTCAGTTGTGCCCTTCTTGGCGAATAGGGTACCCTTTCCGGCAAGTATGGTGCCCTTTCTGGGAAATGCATTGACAACGGGGGAAAGACAGGAAGCCTGACTCAACTGTGCCCCTAGTTCATCATTTTGACCAATTTTTGTTTAGGTTTTCTTACTAAAACAATTTTGACAGACACGAGAGTTAGATTAACATGCTTGTTCGATTTTCTGATTTAAAATCATGCAAGTTAGGTTATGAGCACTGAAAATTTTCCTTTTTGGGTCCAAGAAATGGTCCAGTTTTGGAAAAATGGAATAATTTTCGAGAAAATTAGTCAACTTCATTAAAAATTCTCAAAACTGTTTTTACAAACAACCACTGCTCAACGAGCACAGAACCTACTCTTGAGATGCACAACCTCAGATATGAAGGAAAATTGCCCGCTTGCTTGAAGGACACTACATGGCAACAGAAAGTTGCCCCTTGTTTGAACGGCACCGCAACGCATTGAATGGAAACGGAAAGTTGCCCCTTGTTTGAATGGCACCGCAACGCATTATAGTCAATCCTCAGAGTGACGATCACAACCGAACTCTCGGATATAGAGAAAGCAAAGATGATCAAAACCAATACATGGACACAATCGAATTTGAAGTGTTTTATGATTGGACTTCAGAATGAAGTTGCCTACGTATCCCAAAGATGGGAATCAAGCCTTGCGTAGTTCGGGGTTAAGGTACACTCGGGTATTAACCCTCTCCTTTTGCCCTCTAACTTTTGCCAAGGCCGCCCTTCCGGGTTTTCAACCTTGCGAGCTAAGTTCTTCTTTTCTTTTCAATTCTTTTCATTTCTCTTCTACTTTTTTCTTTTTATTCTTTGCATTTTTCTTTTGTTCTTTTTCTTCTTTTTCTTGCTCTAACTTTTGCCTGGGTCGCCCTTCTGGGTTTTCGGCCCAGCGAGCCTCTCAAGGGTAAAGCCTCTCAAGGATAAAAGTGTAGCTTTGTCCATGTCAAATGGTTTTGAGATCCTGAAGTCATCTGAATCCAGGAGAACGGCTGCTGTTCGCTGACAATGCAGGAGTCCATCGCGTGGAGGCTGAATTTGCCCCTAGTGTTGTAGATCGGAACTCAATTTTTCTTCAGCAATACTTTCTTCTTTCTTCCCCTCTGGGATTTGGCATTCTTGCCGATCTTTGTTAGCTTGAGAAACATCCCAATTTTTTTGACTCTTCGAGCACATCTGACATCTTTGCCCCTAGTTTGAGGGCTTTTGATCTAACTTCGCAAGCTTTCTTTGAAAACACTTGATCTTGTTGATCTGACTTTTCTTGCCCCTAGTTCGAGGGCTGCTTCGAATCTGGCCACGCAAGCCTCACATTATGGTTGACCTTTGAACTTTCTGAGTCCGAGTTTGAGGTTTGAAAGCAAGGGTCGAGTCTCGAGGCTAAGAGCAATCCTAGGCTGCACAATCTCAAGAGCGATTCCACACAAGTCTTCGCAGAACTGCGCAAAACATTTTTTGAAATCTTTTAAGAAAACGACTAGTCGCTTGTGCTGAAGACAATGTAGAACCAATCTGGATCAAGCCAGGATCCTTTTCAGTACTCACATTAACAAGCATGATCTCATTCATTAAGGGCTTAGCACGCCTCTCTTTCTCTCAGTTGATCAAATTTTTACAAATCCCGAGGAATTCCTTTCTCTTTGTTTTCACCACAGTGTTAGAAAAAATTTTAAAAACTTAGGTCAATGCAATGAGTTCAAGGCATAGAAAAGACACAGTTCTGGTCAAATACTGCCATCTCAATCAGAACTTCTGGCACAACTGGCACACGGCAGAAGCAAATACAAGAGCGTGAAAATTACTGCTGTTCCATTCAAATTTATTGGTGTAACTGGCTCCAGGCAGAAACAGACTCAAAGCAAAACGAAAAGACAAACGCAAAACAAAATGGTGATGCCCGAGGTAACACCCCCGGAATCACCCGACCTTTGTACAACAGGACTGACTCGATACAACAAGACAGACCCTTAATCAAAAAGACTGACTCGAGACAATGAGACAGACTCAAAACAAAACTACAGAACTGACTCAACACCCAAGTCAGAAACTACAAAACTAGCATTCGCAAATGCTCAAAATAGTGCGTGCCATACGCCACATCCGAGGTAAACCGCGCGCCGCCCGCAGGTGGTCGAACCCCTGATCACATACTTGCATTATCCTCGAAATCCACCAACCCGGTGGTGACAGACTTTGCCGAGCTTGGAG